GAGCGTCCATCACAGAGTGGCCAGGAGCCTAGACTTCTTGGGAACTGCGTTGAAGGTTGTCGCAGGGACACCTGACGCCGAAGACTTTGAGAATATAAAGTTCACCGAAGCAAGACTAATTGATGCACACAATAGCCAAATTGAGATTAATACTAAAACACAAGTTCGAATTAACGAACTTACCGACACTGTCAATAAACTCTTAAAGATTTCCAAAAATAAGCAAATTGATACAGGCCATTTTTACGAAATGCTATTAACACGCAATAGAATCATTGTCATGGAACTTCAGAACCTTTTGCTTACAATCACACTCGCAAAAATAAACGTAGTTAGTCCAGTCTTCCTGGACCATGCAGATTTGGAGAATGTTTGGGGCGAGGAGCCCACCAACACCCCCATAAGGGAAATTCTGTCCGTTGCGTCCGTAAAAGTTTTACAATCCCTTAACGTTTTGCATTTCATTATAAAATTCCCCAAGATTGTCATGGCCTGTAACAAGATCACCGTCTTCCCAGTGGCCCACCATGATACAATGTTGAGGTTAGATAACAATATGGTGGCAGAATGCAATGGAGAAATCCGTACCGTGAAGAACTGCTCCAGATCACCCGAAGCGACGTTTTGCCAGTTATCTTCGGTGAGCTCGTGTGCCCAAGAACTCCACGCTGGAGGCATGGCACATTGCGACACGCAGCAGAGCGACCTACATTAAAGGTACGCACCTAATAACATTCATTGTGAGTGCCATGGTCAATGAGACCGTCTTCACAAACCACGACATGGTCCAGAAGAGGGCACCGGGAGTAACTAACTCTCCTGTCCTTAATATCTCGATGAAACACGAGATCCTGAGCCTCCCATACCTTCACCGCTTGAGTGAAAAGAATTTGGAGCAAATCAGGAAATTCGAACAAGACGTCGACGGATACCGACTAAGTCAGATAGCGCTAATTGCAGGAGCAATTTTCTGCGCTCTCATCTGCATCGGCCTAACCTGCCAACGAGCCAATAGGGTCAAGAAATCCACAGCCCAACTTAAGGAAGTACTCGCCAAAATAGGGTCGGCCGAGGACGGCCTCAATCTTGAGGGGAGAGTAGTTAACTAAGTTAACCGGACTGATCGTCCGCTGACCAGCACCGGTCAAATTGCTGACCAAGCATTTGGCCGGAAGCTCGAGCATAGCCGGCAAAGCTCTGCACTTTGGCAGAGGCCGCTATGAAGCTTTTTCCTTTGTTAGCTTTAAGCAGTTTGTTTTGGACACTCTTAAAATAAAGAGCCATCGCTCAAGAATCAACAACTGCGGCATTCTGTCGTTAATTTTATATTTGATCATAGCAATCTGAGTCCCTAGGCCAGTTGCATTACGGAAGGCAGTCACCTTCCCAACGTAATCGTCGTAAATCTCCAAGTGGATTTATCACCCCCTTCCCTGCACGAGGGACACTATCAGCCAACAGGCAAATCATTGGAGACCGCAGCGAGGGATCCTCCGGCGGCCACCAGGATCTTAATAATTTGCATACATACATATGTAAACGTCAGCCAGCTTGAGAGGTGGGCAACAATTTATAAAGAATATTTTGTAAGATCATATTACATAGAAATTGCTCAAAACTCAAATTGAAATCGTTTCTTAGATCAAAATGTTGTCTCGAAAATCACTCTGCAGTTCAATTTACCAATGTTTCAACAGTATATCACCAATTACTATAAATTTCTACCGCTTAATCACCGCTCAATTTGTATGAAAACTAATGATACAGGTACATGTCCTTGGGATTAATCGCTTAGACAAACCATCACCAAAACAGCACCAATTCAGTGAAAAATCAATATTTAAATTCAAGTATACAAATATACAATTTAGAAGACTCAGTCGTCTTATCCTACGGAGTTAAGTACAGCTTATTTTTAGTTGACATGGAATACATGCCCAATTAACTTTAAGGTTAAAAATATTAGTATAACAAAACAAAAATATTTTAGAAGAATTTTCTTTAAATTAATATTTTTAACCTATTTTAAAAATAAATTAATAATGTATTGAGCCTCCACGGTTAAGTATGACTTGTACATCCGTTGAGGTAAGGAGTCATATAATTTTTTTTATATAATTGAGTGAAACAGCCTCTCAGGACCTTTTTATTCCTTCAATGAGTTCTGCCTCAGTTGAATACTGCCTGCCGGACTCGTACACCTTTCGTGCCAAACATTTTCTATAATGTTTAGGTCGGGAGAGTATGGCGGCCAAGTCAGTAATTCCACGTTTTGACCATCAATCCAGGACTTTACTTTGCGTTTTCCTACTGGAACTTCCATTTCAAGGGTACAAAAATATTTTTGATTGCAGGGAAACCCGTATTCAGTACACCTTTGTACGCAATGGCATTCATACGGCTGGTAAGAAACTGCATTTCTATAGTGCCAAAGTATTTTCCCCTCACCATGACAAACTTTTTTTCATCTGAAAAGACTACACACTCCCACTCCTTAGTCCAGGTCATATTTGATCGACAGAAATTGAGAAGTTGCTTCTTTCTAAGTTGGTTTTTTTTTTAAATAAAAAAATATTTCTTGCCACAATCCGAACGCACGCTTTAACAACAGTTTTTCCTTTATTTTGGCGGATGAGTCGTGGGAATTAGATGCGTGTTTCGCCTGTCAGCTGGTGTTATTACTGATGATGGCCGATATTTCATGGTTTTCCCATATGTATCCACATTGCTTAAATAACTTTACGGCTGCGCTTTATATTTTTTGATATTTCAAGAATAGAGTGCCCGCACTCCCTGTAAGCCTTTATTTTGCCTTTTTCAGACTCGTTGTTGCCAACGTTGCCCATTATTACTTTATTTTATTGATAATTAGTCCCAATAAATAAATAACAAAAAATTTTGCAGGTCACACTCTTATCGAAATATCTATATAATGGCATTTTAAAAATGGAAAATATCTGCGCTACGTGTAGAAACAGTAATATGCAATCTCCTTGAAAACTGTGGATTAAATTGTATTTAAACTTTTTGCATAAATAATTAATAAAATTGCAAAACTTTTAAGATACCGTGCAAAGTGGAACACGCTCTGTGAGCGGAGTTAAAAATATTTCAAATTAGCGCAAAACTCTTATTGTTCATGACATGGATTGGCTGTGGTACTTGTACTAGAGAAGGCGGCATGCCTTCAAACTCCTCCCACTGCTACTCGATTTTCTCTAAAACTGTGGATAATTTTTTGATGATTTTTTTTCCAGGATCATTAATTACACTACATAAGCCTATAAGCACGACAACACACTTTGTGAACAGCCTCAATATAAAATGACATTCAAGGGCTCATTTATGTATCTATGGGTTGGTTCATAGCTGTACCCACTGTTATGCCGTTATCTCCAAAACTGTGGATATTTTTTGTATGAAATTATCCTAAAATGTCCCTTAAGGTGGTCTGCGACTGGAGATATTCCTTAAAGAGTTGGGAGCCGATTTTTCAATTTTATATTTTATATACTTTCTTGAGTCCTATAAACTATAAGTCGCACATAGATAGTTAAGAATTTCCTTTACTAACAGTTTTGCATTTTTATTTTTTGGAATTCACCCCCAAATAAAGAAAAAATAAATAAATTAAAAACATTTTTATGTTCCATATTCCACCGTACCCTATAGCCGCTAACTCATCGACGCCACTTTGACGCACATTAAAACTTTTCCATTCCCATATACAAATATACCGAATTCCCTTATCCACCGTTTCTCAATTACAACTAAGCCATTGACGCTAGCTTGACGCACATTTTAATTTATGTTTCGTCTAAATGTTATCAATTTTGTGGAATGGTAGTATTTTTTTTGTAATCTGTGCGTGCGGTCATGCTGCGTCTTGTTTAATTTCCTGGTCCCAATGTGAAGAAACAGGAATGCTTGAATACATATGTCACTTGAATAGGGGAACAAAGTTAAAAAACAAGTAAATCACAGAAAACATCGTTTCCTTTTCCAAATAGAGCACCTGAATTCGGTGCATAATAGTGAAAAAAGTATAGCACCATTCTTGGGACTGCAAAACAAATTCGAAAATGAGTGACGACTTTCCAAGAAGACAATTTACTGAAGGGCAGTCTCCGACCCGTAAGCAACCAAGAATTTGGTTACATAATTTTATTTAATTATTAAAAAGCTGTCTGGTATCTATTTTTTTTAACTGAAATGCAATACGATGATATGCAGTTGAAGAAGCAGCCAAACCCAACTACACTTCCGCTAATAGTTCTTTTAGTAGAACTCCGGTCTCGCCTTATCTCAATTATGATTCGCGATATCTGCAACAAGCACAACCAGAGTTCATTTTTCCCGAGGGGGCTAACAAGCAGCGTGGACGCTTCGAGTTGGCCTTTTCACAGATAGGCTCTTCGGTAATGATTGGCGGTGGAATTGGCGGACTAGCAGGTATTTATAATGGTTTTAAGGTCACAAAGGCACTCGAGCAGAAGGGAAAAGTGCGTCGAACACAGTAAGTAATTGGCGGAATTTAAATAGGTCGCAACCTCACAACATTTACTTTACGTATAGGTTAATTAATCACATTATGAAACAAGGTTCGGGGACTGCGAACACATTGGGTACATTGACAGTGCTTTATTCGGCTTGTGGAGTTTTGCTGCAGTTCTTCCGTGGAGAAGATGACCATATAAACACAGTAATTGCGGGCTCAGCCACAGGACTGCTATACAAGTCAACAGGTTACATGAATTTGTCTTATATCGAAAATCAATATATATGAACTAGTTGTCTTGTATTTTATAGCTGGCCTTAGGACGTGTGCTTTTGGAGGAGCTATTGGGTTGGGCATCTCGTCGCTCTATTGCTTATACCTATTAGCACAAGAAAACAGTTCGAACTCAAGCCCCAAATACCTTTAGATGCCTAAAATATGTTGTACGCAGGCATTAATAAATCCCTTCTAGCCGATTAAAATTATAAATACAAAATTTTAATTTTATTTTGATTTATAAAGTCGTTTTATATTAACCATTTTTGCATTGACTTGATTTTGTTGTAGATAAAGCCATCACATCCCCCTACACAATTTATTAAGGAACCGTTTACCAAACTCGCCTTAATAGTCCAAGTTTTTGGTATCGGCACCTACCATGATTGCTTTGCTACCCCCAGCCATTTCATTATTGGCTGGTGCTTCGCAGCTGGTATCCTGTGTGGAGCACGTCTGGCAGTGGCAGTTCACTGCCTCCATGTACTGGTACTTGCTTACGCTGTCCTTTGCTTTAGGGTGACAATTTTTCAGGATAGCTACTACTGGCTGCCGCTCGGCGTGGACACAGACAGGATGGAATGAGCGCTTGTAAGGAAACTTCCAATCGGAAATTTCGCTTGAGTCACATCGTCCCCAACATGACCAAACGCTTAAATAGTCCCAGCACTCGTGTCCTTGAAGATCGGATTGTGTGACTTTATACGTATATACACGACGGTGGCATCCTAAAGGTGTCACGATAGTTCCGCTGTTCATCGGCTTAACTTCCGACAAACTTGACGAAACAAGCACAACAGACGCTCCCACAAAGATAGCTAAAGTGCTAAAAAAAAATTAATTGTGAGCATAGAGCTATCTATGTTTGACTGCCTTACAAGCATGCACTATCCACCAACATAGTTTTCGCTGCAGCTTCTGCTTATCAACTGAGTTACAAGTGAAAAGAATCGCCTTCTTATTAACGCGGCGAACGTCTAAACTGAGCCTGCGCTGCCCAGCAAGGACTGCAAACACTTCTTCACATATTGCGTAAAAAAATTAAGTACATTGATGATAAAAGGTTCAACTTTGCATTTCAGATTATATTTGCGTTTTGAATTTTAATTTGATGTACTTGCATAAATTAATTCGAAAATAATTTAACATATATTTTCATCTTGCTCCATCTGCCATGAGTTCACATTCAGCAAAAACTATGCTTTCACTAATCTTGTGAATTAATTATGGTCTTAAAGTATATTATAAAAATTGAAACCACGTGTTGGGCTGTGAGGAATAAAAAACGTATATATTTCAGCTGTGTTTCCCGTTTTTATCGATAAATACAGTCCCTTCACGTACGATTTTTACATTAAATAACAAATAGGATTTAAAATTTTTAGAAACCGCACAATTCAAAGTTATATAGAATAACCGAGGGTATTTATTTGCGTCTCATAACAACTCCCGTCAAAACTGTGTGGATTTCTCACCACGGGCGGGCGGTTACTGTTCAAGTACTGACGCAGCACACTAGGAGAGTGCAATGAAAAAATAAAAAATTGGGTGTTGTCACCAATCACGCATCGAAAGGTAGCACAAAAACTAAAGAATTAACGTAAAATTATAAAAGCTAAAAAATCGAGGTAATGTGGCTGGATTAGGTTAATAGCAAGTACAACAAATATTTAAAAATTCTGTCAAAAGTACGCATTAGTAATACACAATTTTTATCAAAGGTATTCACAAAAAGGTTTCAAAGTTCTGAAATCATATTATCCGTGTTAAGAGATAAACTACCTTTAGACACTTTAAAAATGCATGTATATTTTTTATTGCTTTAATCGATTGCTATATTGCCTCAGAATATCGTGTCAAAGTTTTAAAAGCTAGTTTTCGAAATTATGGAAGAGATTTCTTCCGGAAGTGACTGGCGCCGAGCCAATTTGCCACTTTTGTTTGGGCGAGGGAAGCGCCTTAGAGGATTCCACGGGTTAAGTCCACCAAAAAATATTGAAGATTCAATAAGGTTTTTTTAGGAAATTAAATATATCTGCGGACGTAAAGCTTTGGTTAAGTGGGATGTAAGCATTGATAAAGTTGATGGATTGGCCGCCAATGCTGGATGAGGTTTTGGTGTGTGGAAGGTTTTTCTTAATAAGCACACCGATACCTTGCATGGCTACGGTGTTTTATGGGAGATTGTGGAAATAACTGGTATAATCTTGGTACAAAAAAACAATATCTGGTACATGGTATTTTAGAATAAGAGTTAGTTCGTTGTAATTGTTAACAAGATAGTATGCTAAAGTCGAGTTCCCCGACTATCAGATACCCGTTACTCAAATAGTGGGCGTACCAAAAAGTTTTTTGACAAATCTGTACAAATTTATAAAATAAAAATATCACATTTTCCAAAAGTGTGGGCAGGTGACAGTTTTGGGAGGTTTGTGGGCGTTAGAGTGGACGTCACAACATTTGGAAACAACCTTGAGCTGCGTCTATGTCTCTAGAAGCTGCATGCTTAATCTCAACAATCTAACTTTTGTAGTTCCTGAGATCGAGGCGTTCATACGGACAGACAAACGGACATGGCCAGATCGACTCCGGATGAAGAATATATATACTTTATATGGTCCGAAACATTTCCTAGTGCTTGTTACATACTTTTCAACGTATCTAGTATACCCTTCTACTCTACGAGTAACGGGTATAAATATCCATGAATATTCCATTGTACTCGTTATTGTCATGGGAAGGTCTTAAAAGGTTTTATTCTTATATATTTGTAATGTGCATGAATTAATGGAAATGTAAAAGAGGAAATATAGAGAGGATTGCGATTAAGAGTTAGAATCTTCCATTAATGTGCCTGATGTGTCTGTTGGGTTGTGCTATGTTAGGGTGGGTAGTTTAAATTTGATTTTAAGGTCGTTGGTGTGTCGTCATACATTTTTTTTGTTCAGGTCTGAGGGCGCGAGATTCTTCACATTTTTTGGTGAGCGTATTTCCAAAGTATAAGAAAGAGGATACAGTGTTCGAAGTGGTATTTGGTGTTGGAGTGTTTTCCTTTGGATTCAAAGAGATGGAAAGGAAAGAACGGTGTGATGGCGAGACAGATGTAGGAGCTCTTGTCGAGCAAGTAGGTAAGTTGTCATTCGTAGTCCAACTGTTATATTTAGGCTTGCAAGAGCTTAGTAGGTCGGCGTGGAGTTGAAAAGTATTTGAGCTTCGTGAAAGATGAATTTTTGTTCGTTTTTATATAATAATTCTTTAACAATTTCGTTTTCCGTGATGTTTATTAAGTTCGGAACGTAAGTTGCGCCTTTCACAAAGTTAAGGGTGTTGTGGAGTTTCTACTCGGTGAGTTAAAAAGTGAGTCTGCCACCAACTTCTTTTGAAGTGAGCAACATGAGCAGATTACTCCCGCGGAGAGTTCAGATCGATGTGATGTCTTTGCTGATGTTGTTAAGAGCGCTGTGGTTTTTGAACACGAAAACTTTGATACAGTTTTGGTGGAGCTTTTCGATGAGTCCACTAAAAATCTCGGTCTTTTGGGCTGCATTTCTGGGGGGTCGAGGTAGTTACTGATACGGTCTTTATTCATGCCCTTGGTGCTAACGCTAAGGCTGGGAAAGCGGTTATACCCTAAATGGGGTGGCCCTGGCGACATGGGTAAAGGGCTTTACTTTTCGCACGGGCACGACGCAAAGAACTATGTATGTATAAGTGGTAAGCGAAGCGACGGAATTTCGCGATAAACAAAGCACTGACAAATGGATAGGCACAAGCATCCGTACTTGAAGAGAGATAACTTAAGTTAATTTAATGTATTTATTTAGTCGAATGTAGAACAAATTTACTTAAGTTGACACAAGAACATTTTTATTCTAAAGATGCTAATTATCATTAAGATGTGCTTTGTTACATTAATAAAATAAAAAATTTATAAAATCTAACTGGTTTAAAGTTTGATTCGAAAAAATGTTTAGCAAATCGAAACAAAACGACAAAGCTTTAATGCTTTAAACGACTTAGTCATCGCGTTAAAGTACAGAGTTTTGAAGATAGAGGAATTGGAAATTATTTTCTAGAAAAGTAAAAATCTTCGAGGGGCTCCGTAAATCGCTTCAGCCTCAAAACCCAGGCAAAATCATTTAGCAGTGCTCCACACAGGTTTCATGAGGTTTTAGAGAAACTGCTTTAAGAAACAGCAAACTTTTGAAGGTGTCATTGTTTGAATATAATTTTCGTACCCAGAGTGAGCCATTCCACAATGTTTACTTTTATTTATTTTCGCGGCAAAATGTTTAACATTCTTCAGTCATAGAAGTCTCAAAATCAAAATTTATTAACAAACTAAGTTTAATAAAAATATTTAAAGAATGAATAGCACTAAAACCCTTGAATTTTATAATATTAAAGTCAGGCAATCGCAAATAAAATACTTGGCTGAGTTTATCCGGTAACCATTTAGTTAATATCGAAATGCTTTGTGGAAATGCTTCAAACTCTACAGTTTTCGATGTTGTTTTGTATTTTTGTAGTTAACATTTAATATTTTAAATTAATAAATTTAACTTTTTAGGGGCGAGTCTTAAACTTTTTTTGTACAAACAAACCACAAGAGCAACATGGGTTGCTGAAGCGAAAAGTGGAGTTGGTCTTGCGATCAAGCAACATCGAAGCTTGTGCTAATGATTATTAGTAATGATTACTTACAAACAGTAAAAAAATGACTATTTTTTAGGCACCAACAAAACTAACAACCTGCGGACCTATGCGAACGTAATTAATGTTTTATTAGTAAGTGAATAATTAGAGTTTCATTAGTAATGAAAGGAGTTTGTTCTTATTTTTTATCAACGCAATTATTGTTGAGCCGAGTGAGCATACTTCCAATGTTGGGAGCAGTCACATAGTTCAATTTATTTCAGTTCTTATTATACACGTTTATTATACACAACTTGCCTAAACCAAATTTTGGAAATGTCCAATACGGCCATATGTCTAACGCCCAGAAGTTGCAAAAAAGTTTTTATTTATTTTTGTCCCTAGACTACTTGGGCACATACCCATAAGATTCAGAACCACAATTTCAATCCATCTCATCGCTTCAAAGCTTGAGCATCAGACCCAAGAGAGGTGTAAAAAAAAAAAAACACCGGGCCACCCCGCAAATTCGCTTCAAAAAAGGGAAAAAATGTTAATATTTTTTGGTGTGCTGCTGGCGTCACCGGCAGCGCAGCTTGGCGCCATAGGCTAAAGAACTTTTTGTAAGAACGGATTTTACATTCAACGTTTATCATTAATGGAGCAGGAAGCATTTATGATCGTAAGTAATAAATTGAGCGAAATTATTAAAATACATACAGAAGAGTTTTAATTCCACATGGCGACCGCGGCATCGATACCTTGAGCCATACCCGCAAGTTTTTGACCAAGCTGATTAACACCAAAAGAAAAACAACAGGAACAAGAAGAAGAAACAACAGGAACAACAAGAAAAAGAATTCCCTACCTGTAAGAACTGATGCAGCTTAAACAGAAAAAATACTATCACGGAAAATAATGTGTGACCTTCCAAGAAGACCAGACGCCTGTCCGCAAGACTGCCCAAGACGGCCTTACGGCACGGGGTGCTAGTCAACCTGTATCATCCCGATAACCAGTGCGATGACCGGCACTGCTACCACCTAAGCCCATAGGACCAGGACATCAGCAGCAGAAGCTAAAAGCACAAGGGGCACACCGCTCCTTGCGTCACCGAGGGAGCATAAGCGTGCCAAGAATCGGCGACGCATAGTTGATGCAGGATCAAGGAGACAAAAATAAAAATTACAGTTTAAACATACAAAATATAAGTCAATTATATATCAATTAGGATACAAAATTGTAAAATTGTATATCACGTTAAACATAACTATGGTGGGACAAACACAAAACCAAATGTTTTTGTTTAATTTTTTAATCATTGTTCATTTCATAAAATATTAATCAATGATTAATAAAATTATTAAATTTTGTATATTCAAATTCTTAAATTCCCATTGTTATTTGAAAACGATTTGACGAAATTATTCACCGAATTCAGAGATATGCTCTCGAAAGAGAATCCATATGAGCTTATAATTTTTACAAACAAAAGCTGCGTGCCTATTTCAAGAAAGCAACGGTACCAAGCTAGACTTTGGACAAAGCTAACTGTAAGCCGTGGATTTCCAACCTGGAGATATCTAGGAATAACAGTTAAAGGATAACAGTTAAGCACGTAAGTAGCACGGGAGCTACAGCCGTGAAAGTCAAAGACACAGGTAGCTGAGTTCCATTAACACAATGCACGGCTAGATTGAGATGCCTTGCTACACCACTAATCGAGACTAGACCCTGGCGTTGGCGAGTCCGACAGTGATTGATTAGGCGGGCTCTTCCCCTGCAAGGACCATTGTGCGCGGCTGGATTGTGGTGAAGATCCAGTCGACTGTTTTGCATGACGTGAACGGTGTGGTACCGGTCAGTACAGACGTGGGGCTAACGTATTGTTGTTTCGCCCAGCGGTTTCCTGGAAGACTCAGGCCCGGCTTTGACGGAGGAAAAAATCTCTTCGAATTCCTGGAGCAGGTATAGGGGGACCAAAACACGTACGGTTTGGACCTAAACGATATGATTCCTCGAGCAATGCTTGAATTGATCCCGGGGAAGGCTCTGAAATAGTTCATTTCTAACAACAGACACTGGGCCGACACTGGGACTCTTGGGCCGAGTTAATATATAGTTTCCAGACAAAACTGCTTCCCAGAAGATACTTTGCGAGACTTGCAGACAAGGTGAGGCAAAGGAAGCAAGGGTTTAGAGAACTATTGAAGAACTACATGGTCAAGATACAGACTCTAATAAGGCCTCTACCGTAAGGAAGGTAACGGTAGGATCTTTTAGATCCTACCAAACTGGAGGCAATCATGATCCTGGCAGACGACTACGTAAATCTGCACAAGCAACAGGAAGCCAGCCGCAGCACAGGTCAAGTGCAGGTGTGAGGAAGGAAGACCCTGGAAGACGACTACGAGAAGCTGTACCAGCCGTTTAGCGGAAGAGCACAATTTTAGCCGAAACAAAGCCCCCGCAGAAGCGGATGAGCAAAGGACACACCACAGGACCAGTGGGCACCATTTTATCCCCACAACCCTGTAGAGCCCACCATTTATTACCCAGAGACAGCAAAGAAAATAGCATCCGGGGTCAGCTCGACCCAAACCCAAACCGAGGTTGCG